AGTGCCAGTGTCCCTGTTTCTATTGGTCTAGGATATCTCCCATGAATTCAGATTAATGGCAAGGGGAAATAGGAATGAGCGACAGGTGATCAGCCCAGGATTTTATAACAGCAGATCTGAAGCATCAGGTAATGAAGTCTTAAAACACCAGATTGAACCCACACACAACCATAATGGATGATGGATGAGGTTGTGATTTTGAGTGTGGTTGTCATTTACAGAAACAAAATCCAGCCAGATCGAGCTTCCTATTGCAATCAAGAAGCGGTTATTGAACCAGGTGCAGAATATCCCTTGACAACAGTTTCCAGTGACAAAACAAGTCTGCCTCCTTTATACAGTCATTGGAAGTTTGGACCGCATTTACAACACAGTAAGGGAAATACTTTACTCCAGGGGTAAGCAACCTCAGCCCTTCAGCTATGGTGAAACTACAAATCCCATCATACTTGTAGTTCCACAACAGCTGGAGTGCCAATGTTGCTTACCCTTGGTTAAGGGCCTGTTCACACCATTTTCCGGACCAGATCTGGAATGCAGTGCATTGTGTTTTTACCACAATTTTACTGCATTTCGGAGCATTTTTAACCCCTTCGTGACTGAGGCCCTTTTTTCATTTTTTGCACCCATGTTATATTCCACATTTTAGGCCTGAAAATGACGTAAAACCCCCCAACATTATAAAAATAGGCTTTCAGGTGCGTTGCAGTGCATTTTTGATGCTTTTCAAATGTGTTCCAGTGCATTCCAGACCAGAAAAAATTAGACATGCAGTATTTTTCTGGTCTGGAACAGACTGTGCTGGTGTGAACAGAGGCCAGAAATAGCATAGGGATACATTAGGATGCACTTTGGGTCCAGAAACAATCTGGTCAGGATGTGATGTGAATGGGCCCTTAATCAATGGTACCCTGGTAGTGGCCATCTAGAAATAATTTACACCTGTTTCACTATACAACTTAGGAATCAAGAGAAACCTGCAGCCAAGCAAAACCAGACTTTTAGTGCTACAGTTATAAAAGTTAAATGCCAGGTGGATGCATTTGCACAGCACTAGTGTCCCTAGATGGTGAGGACACTTATAGGTATTATACTTGTCAGCGCCATCTAGGAGTGCTAGTGTCATGCAAACGGTATACACTGGATGGAACTTTTATCAATGAAGCCCCTAAGGACTTCACTCATGGCCAAAAATGTTCATGTATAAGCATAAATGTATATGTAGATAATGAAGTCAGCCATCACACACGAGGCTCCTTCGCTTGTTTTATTCAAGCGCAGGAAAATTGCCCTTAGTATAAAACAAACTTTATACTTCGACTCCCGAGAACCATTTCTTCTGAATTTAAATTACATTTACATGCCTTTAGACGCGTATCCTTTCTGCTCCTGAACACACATTTATCAAAACGCAGCTAAACTGATTGCGCCTAGGCGCAAGTAAACGCAGTGTGTGAATTATACCACTAAAATAATTACATGCATTCATGTGTTTAGAGATCTTCTATAAAGTCATAAAAACGCATGACTGAGCGATTGAGGTGTAAAAAAGTAACTTAGTCTTTCATCTGCATGACGTTGTTTAATTTTAGACATTTAAGACATTATTCAAACGAACAATCTTGGTTTTCTGTCATGGTATACATGAGCATGTACTTACAGTACTACCTGCAATTACGTTTCTGGGAGGTTGCTCTATCCTAAGACTGGCAGCATTACTAAATGACAGTTTGCTAATTGTTAGACCTACCTACACAGTAATCTGACAAGATATTTCATCCCAGATATTCTTTCCATTTCAAAATATATGCGGCAAGTCACATTTGGTGGAGGAAACCAATCCTCTTTTACCATGTAAAGGGGAAAACCCCAACCGTTGTAATGACAGAAGAACCTTTTAGAGTACAACATTAATAATTCACAGAGAAGAAAACGTTCACCAGGGAAATACTTCGACAAATGGAATCTAGAATTTGACTTAGGCACGTGCATAACGCTTTGTTTTAATTCCTTAAGAGTTTGGTGAAACAAAACATTGAATTCAGAATATCTGAACATGTGAGGACAATTCTTTTACAAAAAGGCAAAAATGAATTCATAATTCTTACCTTTAAAGCAAAACTCCTAAAAAAATTCCAAGATAAAAATAAATAGCCATTTAAAGGGTAAAATGAAGTCAATATTCACTATTTCCCACGTTACATTTTTTTTCCTGCTAACTGCATCGTTCAACCCACTTCCTCTAAACCCAGGTTATCCCTAAACAGCCCTAGCCTGTTAATGGACGGTGAAGAAGTGCATGTGATTACCATCTTTGTCACTCTGCCTTTTTTTCTTATCAGCATGCTCTATGTCAGACAGCTCCTAGTGCTGCTTCTTCTCGCACTCCAGCTTTGCTGTAGATGGACTGCAAGAACCTGATACCAGGTCACATTCAGATAACTGCAGTTCATGTATTTTAAAAATACATTTAATGGTGTATTCATAATTACAGAGCTGTACTCATTTGTGTCTTTATATCTAGCTAGAGTTTAGCTTTGACTTTTAAAGCAGTGTCTGAAAGTAAAATATGCCCTAAAAACAAAAAAAAGTAATGTAAATATTGAAACGTCATTTCATGGCCAAATCTGATCATTTTTGTGTTGTCGTTGGATTCAATTCTGGCATCTTATATCCCTCAGGGTATCAGTTTGCATAATATCCGCTCCACCCAAATATTTAATGCTATTACAAAGTCAAGTGATCATGACACACTCCTTGAGGCGTGTCTTCAGGTTTTAACTTAACTTATTTTGGTACTTTTAACAATTGTGCACAGATAGATGATATTTCTTGGGGACAAATCTCTATTTTTCTTTAATATTTTTGCACAGGAGCGCCGTGGTAGCATGCAATTCCAATGTATTGTTTCAGGAGTGTTCACTGATTGAGGGGGTCTTGTTTCCATTAGGTGTCATCTAGTGATGGTTGGAGAGCTGCAGTCAATAAGGAAATCCTGCTTTAAAGTGGAAATGTAGTCAATGAAACTGCATATAAAATACTGAAATACCTGGTCGTCTGAGTTTATTTTCATCCAGATGGCAACTGGGATTCGCCCAGCCCTGTTATAGCGTATTGTTGAGCAAGTTATTCTGAACAATTCAAGCTCCCTTTAAAGTTCTATGTATAATCCTGCTTCAAACTAGTGGGGGATTTGGAAATTTGGCTGGAAAGGTGGAAATACACATTAAGCTAAAAACACAGATCTTAATGTGGACTGTTACTTTAGATGAGCCGCTTGCAGGCTGCTGTAAGCTTTATTACTATGGGACGCTTATTGAAGCTATCAGCTTGCTTAAAGTGACAGTCAACACTAACCCATCAAGATCTGTATTTAACATTACCAAACTTGAACTGATGCTTTTTTAAAAAAAAAAAGCTTCAGTAAAATTGCTTAAAGATGGCCGAAAGCTTCGCAAAATGCCGTGGCTTGCTCTTATGCAAGCTGAAGCCTGTGTGAATGGTTTTACCTTAGTAACCTTTTCCGGTCTCCTACCTCACCTCCATACCTGAGCAGACAACGCAAGAGCAGCAGAGCACCGATGAGTAATCTTTCCTCATTCATCTCAATAGGAAGCTCTTACTGTTATAACTACAGTGCTGAGGGATACAATGAAGCCATTAATGGCTTAGATGGCTGTCATAAGGACTATCATTTTCAGCAATGATAACCAGCAGGATTTGAAGATATCCTCATATATTCCGATATATGAAGTATTGTACATTTGGAGACTGTTGAAGATTATTGTAATACAGGATCTGAAGATAGCAGTCGGATGTCTGAAAAACAGCAACCTTTATGGAAAAACAAACACATGTTTACCAGCTTTCTAAATTAAACCTATAATTGTGTGTTATTACCATAAGATCAAGGTGTTGAGGCCAGTGGGTCAGCAAAAAAAGACAAAGCAAATAACATTTTCAGATGGAGCCAGCAATGGCAGCCCCATATTTCCTTTATGACAGGTTTAATTTAAGGTAACTCACAAGGCCTAGGAGTCTAACTAAAAGACAGTTTAAGTTAAACTATTAAAGAAAACTTTCATTAGGAACCCTGCACATTTATGATAAGATTAGCTGTTACTGGCCGTTTTTAAAATGCCTTTAGGTGCAAAAATGTAACAAGGAAAGAACATTGCAGAAGCTAATCAAATAGAAGCAATCTAACATGTTTTGTTACATGCTTTTTGTGCAACTGTTTTTCATGTCCAGCCAACTGTACACTGTGATCATTAGATCTTAAGAGCAAAAAATTCAACATTTCAGAATTTAAAAAAAGAAAAATAAGATTCTGATAAAGTGATATAGCTTTTTAAACTGCAAGACATAACGCCCATGTGGCTCAGATAATTTACTCAGCCATCTACAAGTAGTAAATAAATTAAAGAATACATTCACTTGATCTTTTCTACCCCCCCAAGGTTTTCAATATACTTTAAAAACTTACCTACAACTCCAGTGTCCTGATATCTTCACTGAACAGCCTGCCTCGGTGGCAGTCTCCAGTAAAGAGTTGTATGCACACATGTAAGTTTCTGCCGTTCACTTTAATGGAAAGCCACTCTGCAAGCCTGTCCAGCTTCAGACAGTCAATGTTGGGCAGGGAGGAGAATGCTGAAGATTTCAGAAACAGGTTGCGACACCAGGCAAGCCACAATGTAAAGATGTTAGGAAAAAAGTTAGTAATCCACGCCGCCCCCCCCAACACAACCTTAGAACTGCAGCTAACAGCAACTAAGTACCTCTTTTCAGCTTTCATAAACCAGCTGCAGAGAACAAAGCTTCAATTCATTAAGGTATAAAGATCTTTGTTTGCCATAATAACTCTTATTTTAAGGCTGTGAGAAAGCTGAAAAGAACCATTATAGCAGACACCTGCATATAGCCATCTGTGCCTATCACGATATAAATACACTTTCCAAAATTATTTTTGGTATGGAGCAGAAAATCACTAGATTTAGGTAAGCCTTTCTTTTGGAATAACACTTGATGGAAGAAACCACATTTAAAAAGGCAAACTTTTTTTTCCCCAAAACAGACCACATATTTAATTGTTAGAACTGTAAAACCGAAATGAAAAGTTCTAGCACAATCTCTCCTGTATCCCATTGGCAGTGTTTCCGAATTGACATGCTCTCACCAATCCATCATAACATTTCATATGTCATCATGCAGTGATATGCTAAAGATCAATTTTCTTTGCAGATAGTTGGGTATCGATTTAACTAAGGCAAAAGGAACACTAAATGGACACATCTGTATTATTTTCAAAGCTGGAGTGATAATTAGTCTTTACCTTTAATGAAGAAGAAAAAAAAAAAAACAGCTCCTGGTCCCAACTGTAGATATCATCTACTCCTTGGAAGTCTACAACAGATGCAAGTTTGTCACACATACAAAGGTCTCACAAATATATTGTTACGTGCTTGGGAAGGATAAGGGAAAAGTATTCAATCCATAATAAATCCATTACTGCCAAAGACTTAATGGCAATGTCACATCTCAGCGTGAAAACCAAACAAGTCACTTGTCCTGAAATTCATTGTGCACTTCTCTGCATCTTCCACCGTGCTGGAGCTCAATTTACAGCATGTTCAAGGGTCCCATGATTGCAGTTCTTGCTTGATTATTGCAAGTTGTTCAAGTGTCCAAAAGAAGCAAAATACAATCCCAAAATATGTATAAAAGATACTGTCCCTCTCACTCACGCACATACACTCTAGGGGGAATGGAGAAAGTGCAGCACTTGAAATGTAATATTTACACGATAAATCATTCAAATGTAAAAGACAAGATGTAAACCGTCTATCACATGATCTGCCCGGGGAGCTCTGTGAAATGGCAGAAACATTTTAGGTAGCAAACGGGTTAAAGGGGAGGCAAAAACATTCTAAGGTAAAAAACTTTGTTCTGAAAGCATCCTGAAATAAGTACTAAAAAGTTTCCAGCAGTTCTTCAAGTCAGTGCTCTACCAACAGCATTGACCAAATGTCATTCCCAGATCTCACGTGCTTTCTTCTCCCTCTTTTAGACAACGGTGTTCAGAGAACAGTTACTGGGTGAGGGCCGTGACTGACCAGGGCTAGAGAAGGCTTCACTTTGCAAAACACTGGGGGCCACAAGGAGTGCACTGCTTCTACCTTCAGCATCTTCTGCTTCTTCTTGTAGTTGTGGCATTTGCAGGCCTGCTGGCGGCAGTGGTTCTTCTGTAGTCTGAGGTGAAGAGGCATTGCTGCTGCTTGCAGTTGAAAGCTGACCCAAAACAGTAGATTGACGAGCCACTTGATCTGTTTTTTTCAGGTTTATACAAGAAGATTAGGTTACATAATCATAGTAAATAAAAACATGTCCAAAAGAGTTAGAAACAAATTTATATTTATTATAATGTTTTATCTCAAATACTGTAATTTGCTATAGAAACCTTTTAACCCGAGCATCATCATTTTTAGCTACCCCTTTGGTGAGGTCTAGTTCTGTTATATATTGGTAATCGTAGAGTGGGGCCTTCTGTTTTATGTGAGGTAAGCTGTTAATTGCACAATGCTGGAAAACATCTTGAAAATGGTGTGGTGTTGGTCTGACCTGTGATACTATAGAAGAGATGAAAGATACATAGTATAGGCAAACATATGCTTGATACTGTTGCTCTTATACAATGTTGTTTGCTATATGCTTGGAGTGATTTAGCACAAAAAAAGTCTGGCTCCTGTCTTTAAAATAAATGCCCAACCTACACATTTTATCACAATTTCAACCACAAAAATAACAACTTCCTTTTTCTAGTGGACAATAATCAGATGCATTCTCACCTGTTGTTGAGCACAATATGATGTCTGGACATATTGATGCTTCATATGGTGGTGGTGGATCATCAGGGTGCTGGATGTCAGAGTATTTGTAGGCAGTGTAGGGTGGAGGAGGTTCATGGAAGTGGAAGGCGCCACCTTCTCCATCATCAGACAGGTGAAGGGGGGTGAGACCGGTACCAAAACCATCAGGCCCATAATCAAAGCCTGGCATTCTGCGACCCAGGTTAAAGTGATGCACTATGACAGATAAAACATAATTAAAGGAAACCACTCCCCTATTACATAACAGACTACTAAATATTTTTAAAATCACAATAACTGATGTTAGTTAAAGCCCGTGACACACTGCACGCGGAGCACAGGGAAGCGGCAACTTGCGGCCCTTTGTGTGCAGTGTGTCAAGCAAAGCCTTCTCCCACGCTCAGCTAGGCTAGGCGAGAGCTCGCGCAGCTCAGCATGGCGAGATGAAACATTTAATCTCTAGCTAATCAGCGCACGCATATGAATCCATGCGCCAGGATGCGGGTTCCTGCGAGCAGCCAATCGGATTTCCCCAGACAAAAGCATCTGGTGAGTTCAGGAGATAAGTCGGCGTGGTTTGTTTTCCTTCCAGCCCAAGTTCTGTCTTTACTTGTCTATTAAATATTTCAACATATTATATAAAATCAATAAAATAAAATATTTAATCATGTATTTAACCCCTTCCCGGCCGGCCTTTGTAAGAATACGGCTGGGAGCTTCCTGGATGTAACAGGCCCTGTTAGCCCCGCCCACTTGCGCGCAAGCGGGGAAACTGCCTGGATTTAAAAACAGGCAGTGATGCCTGTTTACATACAAACGACCTGCCGGCTATAGAGCCAGCGGATTGCTGGTGTGTGCGGTCCCCCCTCCAACTGGTCCCGAGCTCCGCAGTGCCCGATGCGAGCCCGGGACCAGCACAGACCATCTATGTGTCCCCCAAAAAAATGGTATAAAATTAATTTCAGTACAGCTGAACGGAATAAATGTCAAAGTACCGCAGCACCCCTTGACAGGAAGGGGGTGTAAATACCTGGTCAGCAAGTGGTTAATAATTAAATTGAAATATGTAATCCTACAATATTAAAATATGAAAATAAAATATGTCATAATTAATACAATTAAATAATATAAAATATTTAAATACGTTTCTAAAAATAAAAAATATTTAAAGAAAATTAAATATCATAATCATTGATGTCCCCCTTTTACTGCCAAAACAGCACTGACCCATTGAGGCATGGACTCCACTAGACCACTGAAGGTATGCTGTGGTATCTGCCACCAAGCCATCCGTAGCAGTTCATTTAAGTCCTACAGTACATAAACTGCAATACAAACTACAATGTAGAGAAGCTGGGGGCGGTGCAGCGTGAAGTGAAGGTTGCAATTTTTTCAAGTTTCTTCGCTTTGCCTGCAATGTGTGCCAGGCTTCATCCTATTCAACAAGCAGCTAATGAAGTCAAAAAGGTCTGAACTCTAATCAGGCTTCCTTGGTCCAGATCCATGACATACTACACAGTAAAACTAAAATCAAAAACGAGACACCCAAGGTCTGTACTTTTAGCAAAAAAAATTGTTAGGCATTTATAGAGAACTTAAATGGCAACAGCAAACATAAAAGCAATTGTGAACAAAATTCTATTCAACTATTAAGCAAGAGATATTGAGGATCAGGGGGGAGACAAGCAAATTAGTAAATAGTATTCATCTCTGCGGTCCCAATAACCTGGCTTCAAGTCATTTTGTGATCCATTTCTCAAAAGGACTAGCTCTGGAAACTCTCCAGGTGTGGAAACATTTCTCATAATCTTATTCAAAAGATATGGAATACTGAAGACAAGCAGAAGCTGGTTCCATGACCCAGAAATGGACTGCATCACAGACTTTTAGCCAGAAGGAAATAAAGTTTAACTACTCTCCATACCTCCATATTTAATTACAGTTTGGAAGCGAACATTGTCTTCTCACCTCTAATATTGTTAGCTAAATTGCACATCTATAAAGCTATTTAAAAACGTCCAAAAAACTTTTTATCAACTCAAACCATCATTTTATGTTCTTTTTATGTTCAAAATATTGATGGGGAAAAAGTAATGCTGCAGGGAAACTACTTACAGTTGGCCCCAATTAAGGATTCAATGCGCTCCCTCCGCCTTTGACGTAGCCGGTGAACCATAAAAAGCAGCAGAGAGAGGATGAGGAAAGAGGAGATACAGCTCACAATCAGACGCATACCACTGGCCATTGAATCGAAAAGGCTGCTGCCATCTAAAACGCAACAGAAATATTTATATTAGTGTGTTTGTTCAAAAGAAAACCATCTAATAACGTTAACATTATGATAAACCAGTCAGAAAAAGAAACTAAAAATACATCCGCAAACTGCATGTAAGATAGATGATGCACATTAACATTTTTATGTTTTTACAAATCTCTTCAGTCTTTCAGACTTTCCAAGTAGAGTAAAGTTAACGCCCAAGTCCAGGCTCCATAACCCCAGCGCAGCTACTTTACAGCAAGATCCCCTCAGGGGGAAGGGAACATGGCGTCCTGCATTTTCAGCATGTGCTCAATCTTCTGGATTGAGTGTGGCTATATTACATACATCCTAGAAGTCAGGATATTTTGTGGAGAAGAATACTGCTCAGGACAGCTCAGTATTGAAAGCAAGCATAGCAGCTAGGGCTGCTAGAGGCGGGCTATAAACTGCTGTATGATGTGAGCCACTCCAAAGCAAGTGTGCTTTATTCTAGTATGTACATATATAACACAGACTACAATAGAAGGATATTGAGAGCTGAATTTCATCCAAATTTTCCATTGTTCTTTGATAAGACAAGGCAACTGTGGCTGGCCCAATTAAATCCAGTGATATTTATGCTAGCATTCATTCAAGATTCTGGCATCTAGCAATTTTCTATACTTATAAATAATAAATGTATTCCTCAAGGTGACAATTTTTTTTATTTTTTATTTCATACGACTGTCCTAATCATCACACTCATCAAAAATTCCTCCATTTGCCTCCATTACAACTTTGCACATCTATGGCATTCTAGGGCTTTTTTTGTTTACAGTGGACCTTTGTCCATATCTTTAAAATAACAACAAACTATAACTATGACTAATTTCTAAAGACATATACACTGTTTTAATAAAAACCTTTTTTTATATTTAACGTGCTAAAAAAAGTGGACAAAAATGACATTTTTAATACTAAAATAGTTTTAGACTATTACAGTATCAAACAGAGGCAAACTACCACATACAAGTAAACTGAAACCATTTTTAAGCGACATCTTCAGCTAGCATATGTCATAGCCGACATAATATGGACCACACTGATTGGTTCCCTATTGTTAGTGGAGACCAAAGCCATCAGCGACAGTCAGGTGTTGACAACGTCAAAGTAATCGGCTGGTATCTGCCAGGCGGAGGAGGTTCATTAATGTATCCTCAGCATGAGGCATCGTGCATTGGGCCGTTAATATATAGATTATGGATGGGAAGGAGTTACCAAAGCAGGCAGCAAAAAGGACCCGTACAGGCATTAGTTTCTCAAGCTTCAGTTTTAGATTTCCACTTTCTGCTGCTTCTTCTATCTTCGTTAGATTCAGTTTGTCCTCTTTTTCTCAAGACAGGAATTCTGTAAAATCTAATGCACTTAATAACCTTAATTCACAAAACGTATGTGTTTCTTGGGAAAGCTGTTTTGTTTTTGACATTTTTTCATACAAAAAAAAAAGTATAGTATGATGCCAGTATCTTGCAGCCCAAAGAAATAATTTACTTGCGTTTTGAATAGCATTATAGGTCTCCATTGTGCTTACACAATTAAAAGGGTTTCTGCAATAACCAATTATCTTTTAAATGATTAACTAAGCATGAGAGTTTACCATTATAATACTAGAGAAATGGCTACTAAAAATGTGGTGCTGCAGTCATATATGAATAATAAATGATATAGCAGTCATCTCAAGCAGTAATAGCAAATTGCAACACTAGTTATATCCTAGCATCAATTGAACTGCACCTTCATTAAAAAACAAAACAAAAAAACACTGGTTGAAATGCACACATTTGCCAGCTGTAAAGTACCTTCCAGCCCATATTCCAATAAGGAGGTCCCACTTACCTGGGTCAAGACAAGTGAATTTGCAGCATTCTTTGGGATCCTTGCGATATTGCTGGCATCCCTGTGGTTTTTCACATAGAGCAGCTACACACATTTCAGGTTCTCCATTGTGGCAAGTGCAGCTCAGACAAGGATCATCCCCTTTAGGAGTGAAGTAGTAGCCTTCATCCACAATATTGTCCTTGATGTCAACACAAGTCTGGCCTAGCAAAGAAACCGCAATATTGAGCAAACAATTCCTGTTGCGTTGCATTAATTTACCATCACATAAATGTTTATGGCCTATTAAACAAATCAGTGTTGACAAGTTTTCTTGCCTTTGCACAAGTTTCTTTGAAAGCCAGAGCAGTACTTAGTGATTTAAGTAATGTCACATTGTTTCTCTTGGGCTCTTTAGTGCCTTTGAGCTGTTAGAAGCTGTAATTACAACAGCAGAACCTTCTGTTCTATTACTAAATCCCAAACAGTCAACATCTGTGAACTGGACTGTAATGTACAGATGAACTTCAGCAACTGTGTCTTGAACTCTAAATACAGCTGGTATCTGGCTACTCTCCATAGACAAGTGTCTGGCTTATAGTAAAGTTAAATAAAAAGACCAAAACAATGGGCAGAATAATTTCTGGAGACTGCAGGAAAGCCCCAATTATTTTATCTATACTTTCTAATGCAGTGGTTCTCAACCTGTGTAACCTCGGGACCCACATGTTTCCTTGGTCATTAAGGCGTGACCCAAAAATGATTTCATTTCTGAAACATTTTAATTTATTACACAAAACAACTTGTGCAGTATTCAGCAATATATATTTTGCTGAAAGTAAATGAATTAAAAAAAATTTAAAAGTTTATAAAGAATAAAAATTAAATATTTAAAAAAAAGTGTGTTTCTGTACCTTTAAGGAGGTGGGGCGTCCTCCTGACAGGCCTGCACCCAATTTGATATCTTCTGCCCCATGTGCTCCAAGATGGAGACTCTCATAGTTTAGAGTTAGGACCGCACTATAAGAGGTGCCTTGGCGCGGCAGTGCGGCTTACACATCCTTTGCAGAAGACGTGTATCCAAACCTCTGTCATTGTCCTTAGTGGTGAGACAAGTTGTTTTACATGCTAGTTTGTGAGTGTGCCATGATGTCTTTCTACTGTACCACTGCAGAGGGTGTCGCGACCCACTTTTGGGTCGCGACCCACGAGTTGAGAACCACTGTTCTAAAGTGAACTTGGAAGACCTGCCAAACTGTCCTAAAATAGATGGCTAAATTAACCTGTTTAGACTTGAATAGTGTTTAATAAATTAAAGTTGAACTTCAGTCCTGACACAGTTGCACAGACTACTCTCCTATACTGAAATTGCTTAGCCTTTTGCTGCTCACTGGGACTAGATTGTAAGCTTGGAGTCCCAAATCAGTATTGTTAATACGCCTCCTTTAACCCTAGAGTGGCTTTACTAGCATGCTGTTACACATACTTCGATTCTATTGAACCACATATTTTTGTGCCAACATGTAAAAATTTTCTGGAAACAACATTTAACTGCTGGCTCAAATCCGCGCCTATAGATAGCAAAGAAAGATATACAGTAGGGATGCACCGATACAAGCATCGGTATCGGCCGCGATACCGAGTATTTGCATGAGTACTCGTACTAATACTCCAAAACATAAAACGAGTACCTGTGCCGCGTCCGCCATCTTCAGGATAAAGTTTCGGTACTCGTACTCGGCCTTAAAAAAGTGGTATCGGTGCATCCCTAATATACAGTATGTATTACAAATCCAACAAAGCCTACTTACTGCGCTTGCACAGGAAGGACGACTTTTCATAACAGTTTTCAGCATACCAGCTGTGCAGGCCATGGTGCCGTAGAGAGGGCAGATGGAAATACTGCAATTGCGCACATAATATGTTCTCATTCTCAGACATTGCTGTTCCAAAGATGGGCACTGGGGGTAAGAAAACTTCAGAAGAACCTGATAAATGAGATTAGGAAATCAGAAATGTAAGCACCAATCTAGCTATTCCTAAGGACCAAATACAACCTTCACCCGAACCAAAAGTAAAAGGATGACACTGCACTAGCCTACACTTACCTTTATAAGCAACCTCCCAGTGTCCCTCCACAGAATGGTTTCTGCTTGTTATCACAAACTGGTAACCTACCCATAGCCTGTGGAAAAATGAATTCAGTTTTTAGATCACCATCAAAAGAAAAAGAAATACAAATACCCAGCTCCAGAACAAGATAAATCAGAGTACTGCTCAATGATACAGTAATATCAGGGTTCTAAAGCTACCCATTATATAAAATCTAAACATTACTCAAATGTTAAAGGACTAAAATAAAGTAACCTCATACGCACAAGGTGACGTTTACAAAAGAGTGCACCTGCAAAAAGAGAAGGTTTTATACTTGCCTTTCTGCCATCCTAGGTCTTGAAGCGCTCTTGAAAGGTCTGAATGGTCGGATGGGTTGAATACCACATCCCCCGGCTTGTACATGCTATAGTGATGTACGAGCTGGCTGGAGGAGACGCATACATAAATATATGAAACATTTTGTATGATTGACAAGTTTCATAATACTTTATCACATGTTCCTTTACATTTGTGATCAAAATGTGTACTTGCAGGCTGGGTAGAAGTAATCGCTTCTAAAAGAAAAAGCATAGCTGACTCAAATGTAAAAATAGGATTACAGCTGCTATTGCAACCATGAGCTTGTTTACACCCTCTTACTGTCCCACAGTAGTAGTTAGTAGCTGTTATAGTAAAAGGGCTGAGATTGATATATGTGTAACCTCCACTGTGGGTTGGTATATGGCAAAGGTGCCCATTCAATGCTAAAAGCAAACACTTTTTGGTTAATTTTTTTTTCTTTTCTTAATTTGCCCTTACCTTCGCTGGTCCTTTCTTAAAAATGGTCTTTCTTCCATATCCCATTCCTGAGCCAAGATGAATTTTAATTCTGAATCTGTGGTAAACGTTGCCAGTGAGCCATTCACTTTCTGACACGTCTGAACGGCATCCCAGTAGTTCTCTCCAGAGGAGTACACCTTATAGCAGCTTGCTGTTCCATCATAGTGGTGCCATCCTGTTGGGCATTTCCCTAGGAAACATAAAAGAAAAAAGGGGGATCACACCCCCACAATGTGAACATCTTGGAAACATTAACGCAAAACACTCTAGCTCTGTATAAGTGGGCCTAAACCCAAGGCTCATGCAACCTATAGTGAACTTACCAACCCACTTGCGCAGCTTTGCTTCATTTTGACCCAGGAAGACCCTTGCTGTATCATTACAAGGTCAACAGAAGAACAGTTGTCGCCTGTCAATTGTCTCACCTCACACAGATTGAAGACCGTGCATAAAGGTCAGAAAGCTGACAGGGCAGCAACTGTTAGATTTCAGCAGGCCTGATTGCATCAACAATAGAAGTTGCCATATTTCTATACTAAGGCCTGGTTCACAACTAGCATATTGCCGCAGCTGAATAATGGTTCACAAAAAAAATCCCATTAATTTATATGGCTCCTGTTCACACCTGACCGCTTTGTCACAATAAGCAATGCCGGTCGCTCGAAAAAGTAAATGAGCTTCATTTTGGCAGATTACAGCGCATCTTGTCCCCATAGGCATAAGAAATGTGTGATGCATTTTTTTTGCGTTCGTTTTATGTAACTTTTGCACAATGTGTCACAATCTGCTTGCAAAAAACCAAGGACTTAATGCACACGCACAAAAACGCGCAGCAAAAAAGGCACATTTCTACGTGCGAAAAAGCTGTCGACTAGGTGTGAATGGAGCCTAAAAGGTTCCTTAATGTTGCTTGAGGGAGAGCTAGTGGGTACTTTGTACATCTTTAGCACAGGTAGCCGCCAAAGTTCTAGAGTTACAGTAAAATATTTCCCTATTCAATTATAATAGATTATAGTTTACAAATACATTTTCATATCCAGTATACACAATATAATTAAATTACCTTTACCTGGACTCAATGTTGCTTTTTAAGATGCCTTTGAATGGGACTTATTGAAGTATAAAGAAAAAAAATCCATATGGCTTGTGAAAGCTTATGTCCTACACAGTAAACAAATAGTCATTGGCCGGATGGATATGAAGTATTTAACATGTGTTACTCTGTTTAAATAGGAGAATTGTTTGCCATGAGTGGCTTTGAATTCTTTATTTCAACTGAACCTGTACTGACAGAGGGATGTTTGTGCACCCCAGAAACCGCATGTAGTGATGGCTCTATTTTGTTAAATATAAGATTTTGTTTAATTTTATGCATGTTAAGAATGTCTGTAGGCTTGCACTTTTGTAAACCTGCATATGAGAAAACAAATACTATCTCTTCCTTCCTCACTATGTAATCCAATCCCTTAGTAGAACGGCTTTTAGTCTTCATTAATGTTAGATGTTTGGCCTGCCCTGACAAACTGTGCACAAGCATTATTGTACCAAGGATTCTTAAAACAAGCATGTTACAGCTGTTACAAGCCCAAGGGCAGTTCAAGAGTATGATGTACACACTACTGGTTAAGATTAGGGGGGATGTTAGCTAGTAAGAGGGAGATGGGGACAGCAGCTTGCTTGCTGCTGCAGAGCAGAGCACAGTCCAATAAACACTTCATGACAAGATGCTGCAAAACAATACGGACACGGGGGAAGTGTTACAAGTAGTTGCAAGGGGACTGCTCGTTTCAACTGTGCACATTACTCCGAACGTGTATATAAATCCAAAAACAAAAAAAAGTAATAAACTGCAGTTTACTAGTCGTTAGATGTAGTGGCTATTATCATGTTTAAGGCTAAGAACATTTTCAGCAAGTACAGCAGAATATAACCAGTTGATCTTGCCAGAAATGCATTGGCCTTGTCACTTTGCTTAAAAAAAATAACCACCTCTCTTGCGTAAACACCTAGTCCCATCAATACAACATACAGTGGAGATTAACAAAGGCAGACATGTTTGTCAACCTATGTGACCATAATGGCTGTTACCCATAGATACAGTTGAGAAAAGCACATATAACCATCTTGTTCAAGCTGTGCTCCAGGCAAACTGCTAAATGCACAGTTAAAACACATGAATTGTGCTATCTGCTATCTGCCAAAGATCTGTCCAGGCACTTCTTGCAATTTATGAACCTGCCATACAGCACACTTTAATACAAGGTTGTCACCCTCCCAACCTCACTAACGTCTGACCACATTATCCTGGATAAAATGTTTGTGTTAAATAAATGTAAGGATGCATGTATGCAAAGAAAGAAAAACAGAGACGAGTCTACATTAATGAAGCACACTGGATATTTGTGATGAAGAAGAGAGTTTTAAGAGTAAGGTATCAGTTACAAAATACAACTTACTGCTAAAGCGCACAGGCTGGGCAAAGTTCACCGTATGGAATCGTGGGGCTTCCCCGTTTCTAGCCCGGCCATGCCGTGTCTCCACGCCCTCTTTTCCATGATATATTCTCTGGTCTCCAGACAGACCTAATAGCAACATGTAAAGATCAGATAACAATACATATGAAAATTAAAAATCTATATCAATTACCAAATACCAAGACAGTATTGCCTATAGAAGTAAAAAGTACCAATGTGTTACATTTGTTTAAATCAATACTCTACAACAAGGACTTGGTATACATGGTTAGAATTTCATACAAATGTTTGCAAAACCTCATCCGAACATTCCATAATGCCAGAGACTTGACAATTGTCGTTCGAAATTTCATTTGATTTGATTTTAACATTCGATTTTGAAATTGAGTTTCCCGAATGAAAGCCACATTCACTGTTCGAATCTCATTCGAGTAAGAATTTCCAGTCCGCTACTTAAGGCCCCATTCACACTGAGCGATTTATCGCGCGGTATCGCTCTCCAATGCATGGCAATGGGGCTCTGTCCGTCGCTGTCTCGCGTCGCTACAGCAGGACCCTTTTTGGATTTTGCCATGATTCAAGTTTGCTCAATGCAACCATTTGCGCGATATCGCGCAAAATGCAAATCACGCAACAAACGCGCGATTTGCGAATCGCTCACTGTGAATGGGGCCTAATTCTGGACCATAATAATAAAAATTATCAATTTTTCCCCATTAATTATTACACACACAAAAAAAAGACCATTTTAAAATGAATTTCTGTGTATACACGTACAGTATTTAAAAAGTGTACAATGTATACCCAAGCGTTACACTGGGCGGTCACCCCACCCGCTCCCCCTCAAAATAGAGTTCAATGTGAAACTGGCCAGCACTGGCATAGGCAGAGAAGGGATGTGCAGGAAGTTGCCAGTACTTTACATCATAGACAAGCCTGGAGAAAATAAAAGCTGCTGGCCAGGAACTACAGATCTCCTGCAGCCTAAGTTCTTGTCACAGCCTGTTGAAGGGAGCTCCGAAATGGGTATGAGATGTGATGGACATGTGTGCTGAGTGTATTCGGGATTTAACCACTTGAAGTCCGCGGTGTTTACATCCCCTTCCCATCCAGGCCATTTTTCAGTATTCAGCGCTGCGGTACTTTGACATTTATTCCGTCATGCAGCGCTGTACTGACATGAATTTTATACCATTTTTTAGGGACAGATAGAGCTTTCTTTTGGTGGTATTTAATCACCACTGGGGGGTTTATTTTTTACTATATTAAGGAGAAATTACCGAAAATAAAAAACTCTTTCCCCTATATTAAATTATAAAACATTTATTATTACCCAATTTTTTGGTAAAAAGGCACCAAACATGTCAAGCCTTAAAACCTCAAAAAACTACAATACCCAAAATTGGCCATAGGCGACGCTTTAAAAAGCTTTTACCGCTCATCAGTTTGGTGTTATCAGTGATGGATGGCCCTAAAATGATTGCTCTCGCTCTGACGACGCTCTTGTTGTTTTCGCACGCTGACGCATATTTACGTTTATATGTGCGTAAACATGGGGGACTTAAAAAAAGCAGCCAGATGACTGACAGGTGAATGCGGAAGTGATGTAATACACATCACTTCTGCATTCACACTACGGAGGGAGTTCAGCAAGGAGGAAGATGCTGATCTCCCTCGCATCTTCCTCCTGACGCCCTCCCAAGCCGGTCCCGGGCCGCAGATGGGCTAGCAGATCCGGGATTGAAGGTGAGGGGGTCAGCAGCGCGGTTGGGGGTCGTCGGCGGTTTCACTTCAAAACACCCCATACAACCGATCGGCGGCTATAGAGCCGCTGATCGGTTGTATGAGAAACAGCCGATAACGGCTGTGCTGAATGTACGGGTTTTTCCTGCCTGAGCGCTAGGGGGCACGCGCGAGCAGGAAAAAAAATGCCGTCTGTAGACGGCAACCCGCCAGTGGTAGTCTGCCGTTCGTCCGTTTTTTCTCAACGAGCAGACAGCAGGAGGTTAAGGTGCAATGATTTTGTGGTTTTCAAATTGCAACAGGGTTGCTTTAGTAAAGAAAGATCCTGAACAGTCCTCAGCAACCCGAGCTGTACTCGTCACCAAATGATCATAGGCTTAGCAGTAAACACATTCCTTAGGGTCTCTATCAGATGCAAGATCATTTACCGATACGCCCTCCCCTACTAATCTACTCAACAACAGTGCACCATTTCAACTTCTGACCCCATAGGACATAAAAGGTCATCCGGTTGGCAGGCACAGCTGTGGAAAGGAGTAAGAAGGCAGGTGTCAGTCTGGATTTAGACCACAAGAACGTGTTGTGCTAAGTGATTTTAACGCCACTTGTGCTGGAAAGGGTATGAATATTCCAAGTAGCAGGTTCAGGCTTTTCCACAGTTATAATTCTCATCTGGCATCAGCATGTAATTATGAATTAAAATAAGCTGGAAAATGTAGAGATTTGGGCCAGGTTCATAGCATTTTCCAGACCAGATCTGGAACGTGGTGCCTTGCGTTTTGCAGTGATTGTACCACGTTCCGTAGTGGGTTTTTTTATGAGCTTAAAATGGGCTTTCAGGTGCGGTCCAGTGCGTTTCCATGCATTCCAGACCAGAGAAAATGAGACCAGCAGTATTTTTTTGTCTGGTCCAGAATGGACCGTGCTGGTGTGAACAGAGCCCACAAATACCATAGGGATGCATTGGGATGTTTTTTGGTCCGGGAACAAACTGTTCTGGTCTGGACACGATCCAGACATGGTGTAATCTCTAAGGGTGTTATGATCCAAAAAGAAAAGAAAGTTAGTCAAGTATGTGCAGGCATGAGAGCAGGATACCCACTCCGCGTTATAAACTGGCCCTTATGCGTCAGGAATGTACCATAGTTTAAAAATGCAGCACTGAAAGCCCCCACCAGGTAACCCCACTCTCATTGTTATATAGGTCTCAAAGATGGGAACTCTGATACTTCCCATCTTTCTACTGCAGCATACTGTATATACACCTATCAGCCATAACATTATGGCCACTGAAAGGTGAAGTGAAGAACATTGATTATCTTGTTACAATGGCACCTGGAAGTGGGTAGTATATATTTGGCCGCAAGTGAAAAAATTATGTAGTAATTTATCTTGGTCTGCCATTTTTACAGGGGGTAAGTAGACTTTTACAGTGCATTAAGACCCCCTTCCCATTTTTCAGTTTTGTTATGTTGCAGCCTGATTCTTTTTTTCCCCTCATTAATCTATACTCCATAATGAAAAAGTGAAAACAGAATTTTAGAGATGTCTAAATTTATTAAAAATAAAAAACTGAAATATCACATTGGCATAAGTATTCAGACCCTTTGCAACAACACTTGAAATGTAGCTCAAGTACCTCCCATTTCTCTTGATCATTGCTGAGATGTTTCTACACCTTGATTGGAGTCCACATGTGGTACATTAAATTGATTGGACATGATTTGGAAAGACACACACCTCTCTATAGAAAGCCTCACAGCTGACAATGCATACTGTATCTGAGGTTAAAATGAAATGCCTGCCGAGCTCAGAGACAGGATCATTGCAAGGTACCGTTTTGGGGAAGGCTACAAAAAAAATCTCTGCTGCATTGAAGGTTCCGAAGAATACAGAGGCCTCCATAATTGTCAAATAGAAAAAGTTTGGCACAACCAGGACTCTTCCAAGAGCTGGTCGCCCCACCAAACTGAGCAATCGGGGGAGAAGGGTCTTAGTAAGAGAGGTGACCAAGAACCCAATGGTTACTCTGACTGAGCTCCAGAGATCCTGTGTGGAGATGGGACAAAGTTCCAGAAGGGCAACCATCACAGCAGCCCTCCACCGATCTGGCCTTCATGGCAGAGTGGCTAGAAACACAGGAAGGCCTGCTTGGAGTTTTGCAAAAAAGCAGCTGAAGGACTCTCAGACTGTGAGGAACAAGATTCCCTGGTCTGATGAAACCAAGATTGAACTGTTTGGCCTCAATTTTAAATCTTATGTCTGGAGGAAGCCAGACACCGTTCATCACCTGCCCAATACCATCCCAAAAGTGAAGCATGGTGGTGGCAGCATCGTGCTGTGGGGGTGTTTTTCAGCAGCAGGGACTGGGAGACTGGTTATTGTTGAGGGAAAGCTGAATGGAGCAACGTACAGAGATATCCTCGATAAAAACCTATTCAAAAGTGCTTAGGACCTCAGACTGGGCCGAATGTTCACCTTCCAACATGACAATGATCCTAAGCACGCAGCCATGACAATACAGGAGCGGCTTAGGGACAACTCTCTGAATGTCGAGTGGGCCAGCCAGAGCCCTGAAAACTATTGAACAGCTCTGGAGAGACCTGAAAATGGATGTCCACTGACAGTCCCCATCCAACCTGACTGAGCTTGAGAGGATTTGCATGAAAAAATGGCTGAAAATCCACCAATACAGATGTGCAAAGCTTGTTGCGTCATATCCAAAAAGACTAGTGGCTGTAATTTCGGTCAAAGTTGCTTCAACAAAGTACTGAGTAAAGGGTCTGAATACAATAGTACATGTGATCTTTTGTCACAGACATTTCTCAAATTATGTTTTCACATTGTCATTATGGGGTACTGAGTGTAGATTAATGAGGGAAAAAAAGAAAATTTACACAACTGTAGCATCAGGCTGCAACATAACAAAATTGGAAAAAGTGAAGGGGGTCTGAATACTTTCTGAATGCACTGTATATCCACTGTAAATATTTGGCTACTATTTTTATGTTTTAAGTGAACTCTGACAGCCCTAAAGTCACTTGCTGACTTTCAGCAAGTTTTAATTATGTTCGGAAACATTTACTTAATAGATATCCTGCCCCAATAGGGCTTTCTGGGAAACTGTGGTCTATTAAAAGCTCCATCTGGATCATAAGCCAGAGACAAAGTGGGGAAAAAATGTTTCCATCCATTTTTCCAAGAGTGAAGTAGAACATATTTCCCAATCACATCCTGTTAGAGACTAAATATAACCACAGCAACAAATTGGCAAAGGTCTGCTATTCCAGGGATATAAGATACCAATGACCTTTTTATCTATAGTAAACTTAGGACACAACTCCAAAATGGCTTTTAAACTACTTCTCCACCTTTCCAAAATGCATTTTATACAATGGCATAAAGGGTGCATGGACAAGCTTGGTTTTAATTGTTTCTCTGAATTACTCTGTTGCAAAAATGCCAACAGGTTTTTTTGGCCAAGAAGACCATGAATTGTTTTTACGGTTATTGTTCTTTCAATGTTACTGAGTATTAACAGTCAATAAGGAATGTCACGTTACTTTTGCAGCCGTAGACTGTGGCCATCAATCAAGATAAAACATTCTGGCATTGTACAGCTCATTCTGAAGTCCCTCATTAGAAAATGTAAATAACTACTTATATGCAGTGTAGAACTGGGAACCTTTGGTCCGGGGGCAAACACAACCAACTGGAGTCTAACATGATAGAGGTAGTTTCTTGAGGGCTAAAGAGCACAAAGGTGGGTGTTGTCTTATAGGACATGGTTTACTGTAAGACACTGTTTCTACAGATATATACAGACAGGATTGTGGAGGAGTAAAAGATAGGAAGCGGTGAAACAAGACATTTGAGGGGGATTGAGAGAGGCACTAGAACCACACTAATGGATGAAAAAAAAGTAGAATGACTTGGTTGTGAAGGGAGCAGTGATAAAATTTGGATTGTGGAGGAAGGGGGGCAAAGGAAGCATGGAGACCAGATTGTGGATGGGAGGTAGGCAATAGGTATAGTGGAGGGGTAAGATCAGATTGTGATTAACTTTAACATATCAATGCACAGAAAATATATCTTTCAATTTTGGGCAGATCTGTGAAGGGCTAGAAAACACATTCCCTTTATTTTTTCCCCCGACTAAGCCCTAACTACGGAGATTTCCCATCTCTCCAGTCTTTGTGGCTTGTGTAACACGGCACTACAAGTGCAGAGGAATCTCCCAGCATGAAGACAAACCCGACATCTACCCTTTCCTTGCTCTACTTAAATTTGTTTGCAGACAAACTAACACATTTCCAAGATTTTGTCTTACTTCTTGTGTCTCCAACTATAATTATTTGGACAGAGCAAATCTCTGAGGCTCCATTCACACATAGCGTTTTAAATTAGGCACGTTTTTTCACGCGGGAAAAATGCACAAATTTTAATAGACACACAGGTTTTTTGCGCATTTGCTGCTACAACCACGGTCTTTTGGGGGACAGAACGCGTTGAAAATCGTGCGAGGACTTTGTGCCGTGTTCATGCGAACGCCAAGTGTGAACGAGCCACATGAGAATGTATTGATTTTTGTTTTGCGCGTTTCCGTGTGTGACTAGAGTCCAGGACAGTTTTTTTTCTTCTAAAATAAATACACAATATATGTGAAGGTTACCGCAACAACAGTAATTCAGCTATTGCTACACAGTTGTAAACCATGCCCTTAGTCTCACCTGGACAGTTAACTTCATCACTCTCATCCTCACAGGTTGGCCATCCATCACACTGCCAGTTCAAGGGAATGCACTGGATGGCACCGCTGTGGCAGGCAAACTGCACAGATATACAGAGCAGTTCTGAAAAAAAAAAAAATATATATATATATAAACTTGAGTTAATAAGTGTAAATGATAATGCACTAAATGTACAGTTATGTTTAAGAGGACACAAAGTAACAACCCAAGCAGAATATACTAGCATCACAACTTCGCAGTAGCAGCCAAGTAACAAGACTTAAAGCAACACTAAACTCAGACGTAAAATAATAAAAATAACTTCTATTATATAAATAACTGTGTACCCTTTTTTTGTCATTGTTCAGCTCTAAAAACTTCAAAACCCATTTTACTTTTCTCCAGCCAAAACCTTCTGCCAGAGGGTGGCTACTTTTCTTCTCAGTCTCCGCCCACATCCTCCCTTCTAGACTGCAAGGAGCGGAGATTTCTTCAGGTCTCCCACACTAATATATGATCTGTGATGTCTCTCCTCTTGGCTTACCAAGCAGGGAATTTTGGGGGGGACTGCTTGTGAGGAGATTTAGCATGCGAGTTGTCACCAGCCCCATACTTGAGTCTCAGCTCACATGCTGAATCTGGTCATACACTCACAGGAGGATACAGCCCCTACCTTTGAAATAGTTTGTTGAAAGTAGTTTTAATAATTAAGAGCATTGCAGAGGAGATTACAAGGAATTAAATTGTCAGTGTGTTCAGTGAGGAGAGGGATGGTGAAGGAGGCAGCTGTGTGCAGTGAGAGATGATTCCTCTCTGCCTCATGGGAGTTGTAGGCAAAGAAAGATGTGCACGTAACCAGAATCAACATGCACGGCTCTTTCTAAGTGACAGGAAGTGTGAGGTAAGAGAAGAGACACGGGAGCAAGCACAGCAGACTTTCTAAAGGGATTAAAATAGTAAGACTTTATTTGAAAACATAAATAAAATGTGTCTTTGGAGAATGTTCATTGTGTAGATGTGTATAAGGAGAAAAAAAGCTGAGGATTGTGCGTCACTTTAATAACTTCAGAAATAAACACTAATGCTTATAGATAGTACTGTTTTCACAATATCTGCTGATATAAATATCATAGACTAGAGGTTACACCAATTTCATACAGGTGCATTAAAAACTTTATTACCTGTACACTACATAAGTTCAGGATTTGCATATAAACAACACAGCCTGCTTTAGGGCTTACATATGCATTATTGGTGCATTTTCAGCCCACAGCATATTTACTCTCACAATAAACATAGGGGGGCATTTATCAAATCCATCTTGTAGCTTGCGGTTGCCTAACCTGTCGCATATTTTGTAATGCAAGTTAAGGGCAGATTTATCATCACTACGCGGACATAATAAATTAGCCACTATGAAAATGAACATATCTGCAACTATTTACAAAGTGCTTCCTAGCACTGTTCTGTGACAGATGTCAGAGTACATTACCTTACAGAATAAGTGATTCCAGTTAAAAGAACTACTCCAGGTTTTAGACAAAATTAACGCTTGCAGTGGGGCTACACTGCAAGGGTTAACTGCTCTTTTTTTTTCTTTTAGGGTCTCAAATTAAGAAATACTCACCTGATCCTCAGTCCTGCAGCAGCAACCTCTCGCCTCTTTCCCCCCTACTCTGCTGTGGTACATCCCTCGGTGTCCGCAGTCAATTAGAGGTAAATGGACTATATTAGACGTGATGACGTCAGCAGAACTTAGACCGCCGAACCCAGGAGAAGGAGCTGCGGGGCTTGTCTGGCAGCCAGGCGGGCCAGAAGATCAGATGAGCATTTCTTCTTAATTTGAGCCCTTAAAACATAAAAAAGAAACCAAAAAAAACGAGCAGTTAACCCTTGCAGTGCAGGGGTAGCCCAACTGCAAGGGTTATTTGTTTCTAAAACTTTGGAAGTTCATTAAGGCACAACTGAGAAAGTAGACATACAGTTGCTATTTGGACGCACAACAGAACTAAATGTGTTGCACTGGTCGTAAAACAGATGCATTTTCTGCGTGCAATTTGCATAATAAATTGGCAGCTACAAAGATGACCATATCTGTGTGTAAAAATTGATTTTTAGGCCCCTTTCAAAATGCGTTCCAATCGGGTCAACCCGTCAGCTTTTCAGGCGCTAATCAGGAGGCTTAAAGTTAGTTTATGGGTATATCAGGTGTAAACAGACCCGGCAGATCGGATGCAAACGGACATATGTCCACTTATATCCGACTTCCCATTTCGGAGGGTAAATTTAAATCACTAAAAAGAAACCGTAGGGGACATTAAAGCATATCAATTCTGAAATTTGGAAGCAAAAAGTGTTGGCATTATTCTTTGGGCATTTTGCAGCCAAAACAATCTTTGTAGGTTTGCATGATAGTGTGGTCAAATAGTGATTGTCTGACTTTTAGTGGTGACTAAAAAAATACATCAATAAATTATATACAGTACTGTGCAAAATTTTAGGCAGGTGTGAAAAAATGCTTTAAAGTAAGAATGCTTTCAAAAATAAGCCACCCTTTGGCTTTAAATCAGCATCAATTTTTAAGGTGCCCATACACCTTACAAATATCGGCCGATTTTCGTATGCGACCGCGTTTTCGTCCAATATTTGTGAAGGTGCCCAAACAACTGCCGATTATCGTACGATAATCGCAGGAAATCCCGCATCGCACGATAATTGGTAGGTGTACGGAAGGTGTGCGACTGTTTCTACTGTACGGTCGCACGTCTTTTGTCTTACGAGCATGTTTGAAAACATGCTCGTTTAGACAAATGGCGCACGGGCCGGTGTGCGTAAGAGCACACTGCCAGTTCAGCATTGCAGTCAGTCATCGGAAGCCCGCCCCTCAGCGGGGCAGGCTTGCGATGATCGCAAGTACAATCTGCCTGTCCAAGAAGGGCAGATCTTACGTTTTTTTAAATTACCTTACAACCATTGCAAGACGAAAGTCTTGCGATGGTTGTAAGGTGAATGGCCAGCTTAAGGTTGAAGGGCATTGTACAACCGCAAATACTCTACAATCGATCGACTTTTGACTAACAAGCACAAAGAAATGGGCAATGTGTAGGACTGTAGACGCAGTGGTCAGCCAAGGAAACTTAAATGCAGCAGATGAAAGACACATCATGCTTACCTCCCTTCAACATCAGAAGATATCCAGCAGTGCCATCAGCACCAAACTGGTGGAAACCACTGGGACCCAGGTACACCCATCGACTGTCCAGAAAAATCTGGCCAGAAGTGATCTTCATGGAAGAACTGTGGCCAAAAAGCCATACCTCCGATGTGGAAACAAGGCGGAGCGGCTCAACTATGCACAAAAAAAAATAGGAACTGGGGTGCAGAAAAATGGCAGCAGGTGCTCTGGACTGATGAGTCAAAATGTGAAATATTTGACTGTAGCAGGAGGCACTTTGTTCGCCGAAGTGCTGGAGAGCGGTACAATAATGATGGTCTGCAGGCAACAGTAAAGCATGGTGGAGGTTCCTTGCAAGTATGGGGCTGCATTTCTGCAAGAGTTGGAGATTTGGTCAGAATCAAATGGTGTCCTCAATCCTGAGAAATACAAGCAGATACTTATCCATCATGCCATACCATCAGGGAGGCGTGTGATTGGCCCCAAATGTATTCTGCAGCAGGACAATGACCCCTAAACATACAGCCAAGGTCATTAAGTGCTACGTTCAGTGTAAAGAAGGACAAGGAGTCCTGGAGGTGATGGTTTAGCCCGCACAGAGCCCTGATCTCAACATTACATCTGTCTGGGAATTACATGAAGAGACAGAAGGATTTGAGGCAGCCTACAGCCACAGAAGATCTGTGGTTAGTTTTCCAAGATGTTCGGAACAACCTACCTGATGAGTTCCTTCAAAACCTGTGTGCAAGTGTACCTAGAAGAATTGATGCCATTTTGAAGGCAAATATTGATTTGATTTCTCTTCTGTTCATTTACTTTCCATTAAGTTAATTGATAAAAAAATAAACTATTAACACTTGTATTTCTTATAGCATTCTTACTTTACGGCATTATGTAACACATGTGCCTAAAACTTTTGCACCGTAATATATATATATATATATGCTATGGTACAGAAAAATGTGGTATATTACACAGTCCTGGTAAAAGTAGATATGGTGAATTTATCATAACTGGAGTAACAAAATCTGGAGCAGTTGCCAACCAATCAGCTTCTCTCTTCAGTTTGTTCAGTTAAAATTGGAAAATTAAAAAGGTAGAAGCTGATTGGTCACCATTCACAAATGCTCCAGATTTTGTCTGCTCCAGTTTTGATAAATTCCCTCAGTGTGTTTATAGGAGTCTCTTAACAGCAAGAATAGTAGAGATGAGTAAATGTTATCTTGATATGCAGAAGGTAGATACTGTAGTAAACCAAGATTGATCTACATAACAGCAGGGCTTACAGTGGGTCATCAATGCAGTGGCATTTAAAAGGAGAACAATGAGGTGAGTGAATTACACTCATCCTCATAGTTATAGCCAACATGGGACATTAAAAAAACTGTCACGTCAACTCTATAGATTGGGAAGTGAGCGAACACATACCGTCGCTAGCTTTCAGATCATCTACCTGCAGAGAGCAATTACGGTCAGTCACTGCTCCCCACAGGTTTTCCCCCCAGGGATTCCCCCCTCCCCTCTTCGATCCTCCAGCCTTGACTTGAAACAGGTGGAGACCAATCCTCTAAGTCCAGATTTAGATGGTTGAGGAAGTCCGCATGTCAATTCCCCATGCCTAGTATGTGCACAGTAGACAGGACAGAAATGGGCAGTTCTTGAGCTGTGAGCCTTCTGGTTCCTCCCACGCATGACCTTGCAGTCAGTCAAGGAGTCCAGCAGTGAAGGGTCAACCAAATTGCTCCGAGTTGCTCAATACATTCCTCCTCTGGTGACCAAGTCCCTTGCAACAAGAGTGTCTAAGACTTCTCCCTGGTCCAATAGGTGGGCATCTGTCATGAGAACCTTGCAGACCATTGAGAGGAAGGCTTTCAGCCTCCAGTGCTGCATTCATGAGCCACCAGGCCTGGACCAGCCTGGTTTGGGGGTCATACACATGCGATAGTCT